TCATTTATTTTGTAGTTTGATGACTATTATACACCGCCGAGCCGAACGGCTACCAATGAGCAATCTGCTCCGCCGACGAGAGCTGTACGCAAGCACTATGGTGATGATTGGATGCGCGAGGCTATTAGGACACGTCAAACATCAGACCATCTTACTCACAATCCTCGGCAGGAGCTTGACATGTACTTGTCTTCGCCACTAGAGGAGACTGATGACATTGTGGCCTGGTGGGGGGTAAGTTATCTCTTTGACTTGTTTTTTTGCTACTAAATCTACTTGATAGCTTCATTCACTGCAATACCCTACACTCGCGCGCATCGCGCGAGACTACCTACCCATTCAAGGCAGCTCCGTTCCCTCCGAACAAGCATTCTCAAGCAGAGGCATCACTTCGACTATCCGACGCAATGCACTCGCGACTTCCACGTTCACTGCATTACAATTGCTGAAGGGAGCATATAGGAATGGGCACCTTTCTGCAGCAGTAGAGGCTGAGGGCCATGCAGCTTCGTTGGACAAGTAGCTACACTGTCTATGTTTTTTGTCACTAGCTGTAAAAATTTTTGTGTTCGGTTCGCGTTCAGACCGAAAAAAAACCGAACCTGACCGTTTTGAACCGTTCGCAAAGGTCCAGTCCAAGGTTCGGCAAGTCTACTAGAACCGGACCTAGGTTCGGTTCTTGGTTCTTGCTCAACCCTCAATGAACCGGACCAAACCGGACCGCGGCAGCACTAGATGTTCCGGCCCGGCTTAGGCTCGGCTTCGAAGGGCTTAGGCTCACAAAAATTCAGAGCCTAGGCCGTGAGCCCAAGCCAGCCCAAAGCCGGGGCTTGGGCCCAACCAGGCCGCGGCTTTTGGAAGCCAACAGATGCTCATTAGTGTAGGCTAGTAGTAACAAGCAACAGCGTGAATACAACGTATCTAAACGTCCATCTCAACATCCGACACGTCCTCGGCATCATCACCCAAAAGCATCATGTCCCAAGCTTCTTCTCCATCCACAACATCACCAGTCTCTGCATCCGCTTCCGCTTCTTCGTCATTGTCGTCCAGGTAATCCAACTCAACGAGAGATGATGGTTGAGGCTCCCGGAACAGAAGATCGTGTCGTAGCGCACATTTCACAGACGGCGCTGATGGTATGGGAGAGGTGGGTGGAGATTGCGTGATTTCGGTAGTGGATGAAGTGGAGGTATGTTCAGCAGCACATTTAGCAGCCTCCGCAGCGTGGAACTCGTTAATTGCCTTGGTTTGGGATGGCAGTGCTGCCTGCTCGGCATGCTGAAGAAGGGTGGCTGTAGGTTTCGTTTTGCGCACGGGACGTGCAACACGGTGCTCGGCATCTGTGTTTGTCATGGGTGGGTAGCAGGTAGGGATGTTAGAGGGACACGTACCAACATAAATCGATTGAAAGATAGTACTGGGTGCGCAATCACGCAGACACTTGTGAAGGCGAAGCACAAAAGGCTTTAAATTTACTAAAAATATCGATTTGCGCAACTGAAACCTGGTAGAGTGAGTTATGTCAAACTCGCAAAGCACAGGACATAGTGCTGGCAGCTCACCGTGGCTTTTCCATAGCAACAGACAAGAGATAAGGCCTTGAAGGAGGGTGAATTGCTGGATATGTTGGACAGTGCAGGACCATCTGAGTTGAAGCTGATAAAGTGATGGAAGTCAGAAGCTTAGAAAGACAAAAATAGAGTCGGGAAACGTACCTCCGGTGAGTGCCACTGAACATGCCAAAGCCACGGCTTAGGCCGCCGGCTCAGGCTTTTCGAAACTCAAGCCCAGGCCCAAGCCTTCCTCAGGCCGTGACTTAGGCCTGGGCTGGGCCCGGCTTATTTGGGCCCGGCTTGGGCCGGCCCAGGGCCTCAAGCCGAGCCGTGCACATCACTAACCAGAGCATTGGCTGATCTCGGCAACGGATGAAAAATATTTGGTGAGGATTACATGTTTCTATCTGTTAAGACATGCATTTGGATAGCTTGAGAAAATAATGATCGATCTAGGCTCCGAGTCATCAGTAAATTCACACTTTCCTTGCCTCACTTTTCCGTCACTTGTGCCCGAAATTAAAAACTTAATTTAGCTTATTCAATTGTCCCCTGGTTTTAGCAAGTTACTCAAGTAAGCGCGTGATTTTAGAAGCTCTCGCAATATGGTGGGCCAAATGGACAATAATTAAATCACGTGCACACGCAGTTTTCACGCGCATGCAAGCAGGAAAAGATCACATGAAGGTAACATTGTATAACTTTTGACAGAGTCAAAGATAGCTAGCTAGCTATTAGTTGTATGTATACGAGTCCAAGTGAAATTGATTGATGAGAATGTAGTCAGCGGAAGCGATGGTATGGATGAGATACTGCCCCTAAAGGGAAAAGGTTTCGCACCAGTTAATGATTTTGCATGTTCAAGCAACTGACAATTTTTTCAAGACTTACCCTCAGATTCCAATATCAAAAAACGAACATGGTCTGGCGCCAAGCCATATTATTGTTTTGCGTTTCACACCAATTTCATTGAAGTTGCAACTGCAGGGAGTGGAACAAAGTTTGAGTTAGATTTAGGTCATAGCAAAGAGGGTGTAGAATGTAGGTCATCAATTGTGTCGCAACATTGGTGGCAAGCTAACGCAAACACCAACAGCGGTCACAGTTGGATTCGACGTTCCTGCACTAACACCATCCCTGAAGAACTCAAGCAACAATGAGCAGAATGGACAGGATGGCACCCACTCTGCTGAAGAACCAGCTTCGAACACACTGCTACTGACAGAAGAAGCAAGCACCAGTGTCATGCTGGATGAACATGACTACGAACCATACAATGTTAGCAACTTCGGTGCTCCCACTGAATTGCTATCCTCTGCATCCACTCCAGCCGCTGCTGCCACTACTTCCTCGACTATCAATCATGCTTCCACCTCAATTTCTCATGCTACACACAAGGATCTTGGTTCCGGCCTTCCACGAGGTCTGCCACAGGCATTTCGCAGTGCCCTGTGATTCTCGTCGTCCTGTTTAGGATTTAACATGCTCGTCAAACAAAAGCACAACCCTTGGGACAGGAAATAGATCAATGGTCAATTTTCATTCATTTTCCTCAGTTTACAATAACCTCGTAATCAATTTCACCTGGACTCGTATACATACAACTAATAGCTAGCTAGCTATCTTTGACTCTGTCAAAATTTATACAATGTTACCTTCATGTGATCTTTTCCTGCTTGTGTGCGCGTGAAAACTGCATGTGCACGTGATTTAATTATTGTCCATTTGGCCCACCATACTCGCAAGGGCAGAAAGGCACGCAAGTAGGGAAAGTGACAAAAGTAACCATACAGTGTAACAAGCTGCTGCTAAGTTGTTCGCAAGTCAATAAGTACAAAATTTTATGGTCGCATAGTACGATGTATCATGGTATAGGGAAGTGATCAACAAGCAAATCCTGTACACACAGCCGTCAAAATAGGTCGAAAGCACAGGGAATTATCGCACCTGAGCATTTATAACAGGGTTCTCCAACAACTCCTTGAAATTTTCCTATCCATCCTGCTCTCGCCAATAACCTGCCTTCCTCCATTCAAGTTGGGTGACGGTTTTGCCATGGAAAATGAGGATATGGAAGAAAGTATCGAGCAGTGGTAGGATGTCGTCCGGTTTGATAGAGACGCTGTCGAGCAAGACAGGCTGGGGCTCGACATCAAATGTCAAGTAGCTTGTGGGTGTAACGTTGGTTGGGTGTAACATTGGTCGGGCGTAATGTTGGTCGGGTGTGATCACGTCAGTCCAGAGAGAAACAGGGAGTATGGTGCTGGAGAGTGCGCGTTATTGATGGCATGGTTGCTATCCAAACAGAGCAGTTGCCGGCACACACCAAATCTCGAGTCTCAGCCATCAGTACTTGCAATATCATTTACTATTGATCTGTAACCTTTCAATTACAATCATGCACCCAACTGATGCTGTAAGTCTGTGCATCATGGATATCATAGATTGTTGCTGAAGGGTTCAGCAGAAACTGACCCATCTTCAGCCACCAGAAGCGCTACAAATTTACTGTGGGTGAGGGCAAAGGTGGCCAATCGTGGCAAGTCAGCCAGATGTTATAGACGAAGTAGTGGTGGAGCAAGATGTGGCTGGAAGTGTGCGGGTGGGGTTCTGGAAGAGGTTGAGGTGGTTCTTTGCTTGCGGGAATCGAGAGTCACTCGAGCGTGTGCATGGCACAGGTTGAACTCGAGAGCTTCAGAGGTTGCAGACTCAAGGAAGGTGAGAGAGATATCTTGCGAGTGGCAAAGCGGCAAACTCACCCGTTCATGTTGTTTTGTTAGATGTTGTTTTTTAGTGTCATGTGCTGTGATGTAAATCAATGCTGTAGAAAATGAATGATGAATGATGAGTCTACTTACAGTAGAGCACTTGCGGATGCAAATGTTCCCAACAACTGGAGGGTGCCACTGTTTGATGAGATGCAGGATGGCGGATGGTGGGTGCATCACTTTGACATGTGCTTACATGGATATCAGTACACCATTTGGCATCAGGCTGCCTGCGGGGGCTGCAAGAGTGGCGGATGGCAGTATACCTCCAGGATACACCCACTGTACACCGTGTCGATACTGTACTGGGGTTGCACTTCAAACTGAAACTCTGTGTCATTTGGTGGGGGCGCTTATGAGGACATGGGCTGATAAAGTTTGTGTGGCGGTGGGATTGGGATGTACGATGGTCTGCTTGCAGTATCCAACTATCCCAGGGAATGTCAGCTGAGTGGCTAGAGATTGTGCGTATTTGCGCAGGGTAAATGGTCTCCGCTAGAGGACTCTGGTGGTGAGGGTGTCATGATTCTTCTTGGAGGGGAATGGGACGGAACTGGGGTTACTTGCGGTGGTGGAACTGGTATAATAGGAGCTGCATGTGGTGCAGTACCATACTGCCCAACAGGCGGAGCAGACTCCGGGCGCATGTTAGGGCCTGATGGCCTTAAGACATAAGTCAAAATGCTATCTCGAAGGCGTGATGGTCAGCATATTTATTCACATAAAATGTCCGGAAATCATCATAAGAATGGTAGAACTTGAGAGAATGGGGGATGAAATCAGAACCATAGACAGGGATCAGGTGTGATGCACGATAGATCGACTCAATATGAATAACAGCAAGGTGTTGGGAGTCATCGTCATGAAAACTTGGACGAACCATCCACATGCCAGTGTCTTCATCAGTGCAGTCACTAACCTTGTCAAACCAATGGATGAGAGCACATGGATATACTTTCTTTTTGAATTTGAAAGAAAAGAAACATACAACTCTTCCAACATCGAGCCCTCACATCCCCTCAAGGTCTGAATCAGTGTGTATGAACACACAATCATTGCGAGCATAAATGTTCCTCCAATATGGACAGGTGCGGATATGCTCACGTCGCATGCCACCGATGCCGCTCGGATCACTGGGAGCATAGAATGTTGTGGCAGCAGAATTAAAGACACAAAGCTTGCCTTCATGTCGAGGGCAGGTAGCAGCTGGGACGTCTTCGGGGTTGCGGGGATCCTTGGGGAAAAGTTGAGAGAACAGAAAGTGGCGGATAAGGCATCGCAGATGTGGCACATCGACTTCCTTTGCTAACACTGGTACCATCCGTGCTTGTGATTGTTCTGTATAATATTGTGATGAGTATCGAGATTGATAACATGGCAGTACAACTTACAAGTTGTCTTTGTGAGCTTAACAAAAGCGAGTATGGTTGGACTGTCAACAACTTCAATGTCGTTCTCTTGATCTGGTTGCGGTACAACAGGGGCACCTCCCTGATCTCCCTGCCCGGCAACTGTATATTGACATTAAGTTTGCGAGAAAACAAAATTGTATATAGAAAAGCTTATGGAGAACAGCCACAGCTCTTGATAAAGCAGAACCAACGAGCATTCCTTGCATAGCAAAGTCCACGCGAGATGCTGCAAGCTTGTCGAGGCGTTGATTAGTCAAAAGCATCTGGCCGAGAGCATTGTTCTTGCTGGACCATCGCCAAGGATTCTTTACCGCCTTAATGTGCTTCGATTCCGTGATTGACGAACATAATCCATTCGAGGCACCGAAGAGTCTGATCATGTCTATGTAATGGACCATTGAGTGCTGACGGGGGAGCGAGAAGGTATCAGCGACGCCTGAGGTTTTGAATATTTCGCGGTAGCGGTGAAACCAAGCAAGCACATCTTCAATTTGATTCAGGGTGTCTTCAGTAATAATGTTGCGCCGCACGAGATAACAAAATTCTAAGAGTGCACGAAATGTGCGCACCATATCTTGAGGCACATGGCCTTCAATAGCCGGAAGAAAGACTTTCATTAGCACTTTAGAATCGTCGCCTGTCCACTGTTTGAAGCCACAGCCTTCGGGAAATCTCCGTAGGCCCGAGAACGATGCTACAGCAGCAATTCTGACTTATTGTTAGATGATCTCATTGAGTTAACAAGTGAGGTCACATACCTGCGATCTATGTCACTCATGATCTCGTCTCCTCATTTGGTCCTGTGCTTAGTCCTAAGGTACTTTACCACCCAGTCCACAAGGTGGTCCTTGAAAGCGCCTTTGATTAGCTGGTGGAGGAGATCAAATGATAACAATTCATGAATATCAGCCCGGGGGAAGTCATTCATGAATGGCTACACAAAATAATTTAGTTTGTGATTCGACAGCTGCTGGTTCCACTCACAATGAGATCACTAATAATACCATATTCATCCCACAATACATCTGGATGTACTTCATGTACCATCAAATCTGTATGCTCACGACAGCAGTATATACCACCGGCATCGAGGTTTGTTCGAATTGCAAGGAATCTAGTATGAGCATTGTAAGTAAAAGTTAATAATGATTGTAAGTTTGAATACTCACTTTGGGCACCAATTTCGAACAATACAGGACAGCACCACTTGTTCTTCATAGTCTGCTATGTAGGGCCCTAGGCCATATATGATACGTCGAAAATGGCCATCTCCGCAGCACAGAACCTCGTACTTGGTCATCGCAGGCTTCAGGCTGGTGAGAATTGCGGATAGTGAGCGGTGGAATAGCTGACAGCGAAACATCCGGAATGCCTCTTCTTTAGCATGGTTCTTACTAGCTGTAGCACAAGTCAATAAGGAGGAATAAGATTTGAAACATAAACCCACATACTTTTGGGAATAGCAAGGAAACCAATAACAACAAGAACGTCACGGTGAGCACAGCGTATGTTGTTGTGCACATTACCGATCGAGGCATACAGGGGATAGTATTGGTTGTTACCTGTACCCACAGAGACGGTAGTCTTGTCACTACCAAGAATGATTGGGACGAACGCAGATCTGTGCGTGTCTGGATCTTTTAAGATCTTGTCCTGATGTGATGTTAGCCACTCCGCGAGTCATCACAATAGATCAAAGACATACGGCCTGTTGCCATGCCCAGTCTCCAGACATAAAGTCTTTCCATCGACGTGTGTCATCTGACGCATCATACTCACAAAATGGTGTATAGTCAATTTCATCCTTGTAGGTAGGGTTCGCTAGCATGTTGTGCGCCATTATGCGAGGGTCCCTGTACCAGACCTCATATTCGTCATCCATCCATGATGGGACATCATCCTCAGGGCATTCCCCGTGTATTGAACAGAGAGACATTGCCAGGGGACATCACCAAGTTGCGTTGTGTCGATGACCTTGTGCAAATCTTTGTGATCAGCGAATGGAGGAGTGTCGTTGTGTTTCACCAGTGTTGCAGCCATCAAGTCAAATAGGCAATCTGCATGCGTGTTGGACGTATGGCGTTGTTTGAATACAAATTCCACCATTGAAAATTCTATGTCGTTACGATACAGGCTCCAATCATTAGGAGACTTTGGTGGCAGAAGAGTTGGGGGCATGCCAGGCACCAGGAATACACCATCACTTGTGCATGGGCGTCCTAAGAGCAAGTCTGAGTCAAAATGTAAAGAGTACAAATTGAAAGGAGCCTACTGTTGAGGAGTGAGTGGTACATCCAATAGTAATGCTCGCTTGCATCTGTGAATTCTGCCTCTGGGGCGCTGTTTGGATCCTTGTCAACAGCCATTGGCTCAGGCGATTGGTGCGCCGGGAACAAGAGATCTGGAGGGGGTGGCGAAAAGCTTAGAGGGGGCGGTGAGACAATCTGAGGGGGAGATGATGGCTGGTGTGGTGGGGGAGGATGATCCTGAGTGGGCAGTTCTGAAGCAGGTGCAACATTATGATTTGGATGGATTGTGCCCATGTGTTGAGTAAGGCCTGAGCGATTTTGGAACCAGTGCCCACAATATGAGCATGGAAGCCGGAAGAGCTTGCGGTCAGGGCGAGCACCAGGCATGGTTGAGGTAGTAGTACTACTATAGCCTGGGCACTACTAGTTGAAAGTTGAAAGTATGAATATGGCAGAGAATTTGTATGAATATGGAAGAGAAATGTGCACCGTTGGTGGCTGTTGTGTTATCACACCACAAATGTGACATGTCATCTACATAAAAAAAATGTTTGTGAATCTCCTATCGACAAAATGTTTCGATGGGTGACATACAAACACAGTAAAATTCTAGTATTTCATACCAGCAGAAATTTGAAGGCATTGGTGAACATTGATAAATCTCACAGGAATGTTGCACTGAAATAGCGGCGGTGCTGATGAGCATTGGTACCCCCAAAATTTATGACAGCTGTACTAGTCAATTGCGGTCGCAAGACTAGTACGTTAATACACAAAGTAGGGTCAATGTATGTATTATTCAGAGTCAGCTTAGACTGCAAAATTTCAAGAATGTAACAAAACTCACATTCAACTCGTCACCCATCGCCCTCAACTTTCTTCAGCCTCCCCAGCCCTCCATTGTTATAATGTCTTATGGCAACACGTACTAAGAATGCCACTCAGCATCCAGGACACATTTTGACTGGTGGAGATCAAGCAAAGAAACGTACCAAAAAAGACATTGCTGCTGACAAGCAGCGTGAAAAAAGGCAAAGGAGGCAAGTGAAACAGCCTTGCAGGAATCATATCAGCGCATTGCTACATATCAGGAACAGATGTGGACAGACCAAGCTGCTGCACGTGCTGATGCACCTAAACTGAGTTGTCCCCACCCACGACCCCGGGCCATAAAGAAGGCTGTGAAGACCACGGACACCTCAACTACGACTGATGCGCAGGCAGGTGCAGGACTCACCACCGGTAAGGCTTCTGGCGCCAAAGGCAAGGGTGACGGCCATGGAGGTAAATCGGCAGCTGGTGCCAACATTGAACACCCTGCAAGCGATGAGGAGCTGGAGGTGCCAGCATCACGGAGGGGCAAAACCAATGCCAAGGGGAAGAAGAAAGCATTGAAGACACCAGTGAGAGACATCATCGAAGGAGCTGGTATTATCGAATCAACGATGCCACGTGATGTCGAGAACCATCAGAAATCTGATGGTGATGTGTAAGTCTGTTTACTTGTTACCTTAACGATGAAGCTCTATTTGACTGAAACGGCTCTCTTTTATCACAATCTTGCGGATGCTACCAGCTCACTCGCTCCTGAAAAATATCAACTTGCTGGGCGTATCTCGGGTTGGGGTTCAAAGCCAATCCCCAAGAAAAAACCTTCTACTGCCGCATTACCTTCTGAGTACTCTAGGCCTATCACCAAAGGGAGCACTAATATCAGTAGTAGTGCTAATGCCAGTGCACCCCCACTCACACCTATCAGTACTCCCGATGCTGGAGGTGACTCGGCAATTCGTTTCTCAACTTTGTTTGAGGACAATTCGGACGACGAAGTGAACGAACGCTCAGCAGCCCTTTCTCGCCATGTGAAGAACACAGAGGACCCCATGGTGAGTATATCTATAGTTCAATTCCAGATATTAACTAGAGATGCAGACTGCGCAGTGTCTCAAGATTGTTGCCAAGGCTCCTGAGTCTGGCGTAGTGGTGCCACTGATTGTTGCCCATCACAACATACCCAAGCAACTCGAAGCGCCGATTTGAGATGACAATGAGGACATCACCATGCATTCAGATATCGACGAGGACAATGAGACAGATCTCGACAAGGGCGATGGAGCAGATCTTATTGAGGATGACGGAGCATACTCTACCAAGGACGATGGGGCAGATTTCATCGAGGACGATGGGACAGATTTTGTCAAGGCCCGCCCTTCTATGCAGCCCTTCCCCCTAGTGAACTATGATTCAGATTCGGATCTCGAGTCTTCTCCTTCTGCACAGGTCCTCCCGGTGGCTGATTATGATTCTGACATCAACTTTCCACCTTTTGCCCAGCCTCCCTCATCCCGCACTCCACCATATTATTGTGCCGAGTCGCTGAAGCGGAAACTAACGGATGAATTGCTCTTCCTTTCATCCGATGTTGAGATTGTGGAGCGTCCTGATGACTTGACGGCTGTAGTCAAGAAGGAACTCCAACCAGCGCCCGTGCAGCTGACTTCTGCGGTACGCTTTGGTTTGCTGATGGCAAAATCTCACTGATTGCGGGACATGTAGACTGGTGTTGCTGTCACGCACAAAGCCCCTGCGGCAAAGCGACTGAAATCCAGCACTGCAAAGACAGCCTCTCATGCCAACACGAAGCCCTCCCAGGCAACAGAATCGACAATGGTGGTGCTCGCCCACTCAAATTACAGGATGAAACATCTTCCTGAAGGCTGTCAAGTGTCGGGAAAGTGGAGTGGAAAGGTCATCCCCACCCTCATTCACTGCATTGGGAGTCAAGATGAAGTCTGGACCCTCAAAGATGATCTCCTCTGCACTACTCTGCAGTCAATCTGGGATGTTGTCTACAAGGGAAGTATCACGCACACAGTCACTCCTGATGGGCCTGTCATTGCTGTGGTAAGTGCTTGCTGACGCTAGTACTCAAATCTGATGGTTTTATTTTTATTAGGCTCTCCAGCAGCTGTCTGAGTGGCAAAACAGCCTCAGCTCTACCGCCCTCGTCGTGCTTGCAAACTTCCTGTCCTCACAAAAAGACCTCAAGACCGATGAGGACCGCAAGAACATTTCAATCAAGTTGCTTCACAAGCTTGCGTTCTTGTTCGGGGATATCAGAGACAATGGTATTAAGCACACGAGACCATACGAGTCTGACCTTATTGTGCAGGTGCTCGTGCAGCACCATTGTGCCACCGTGGGTGCTGTCCATGTGCAGGGGACTACAACATCGACGTACGGGAAGGGCACGCTTGGTCTTGCCACTACAGTGGCATGTCTTTCTACTCTCATCTATTTCTCACCAATACAATCCAAGTTCACATTCATGTCACTGGGAAGAGCGTGTGATTCACCCAAAATTGAGTTATCTGGCATGAAAGTGGTCAGTGCAAGAAATCAATGAAATTATCAGAATTACCGATCATCGTTGATATATTCAAATCATGGCTCCCTGCTGGTGCATTGGTGGCATCTGTAGTACCAGTATCTGCGTCAACATCCATAGAGGACTCAGATGCAAAATGCAGGGGAGCGATCTCTTCAACAGCTGGATATTCAGGAAGTCATGCCTGCTCCTGCGACTTAGTATTACTTGCAGAACTCTCTTCCAAAGTGACGGAACACTCAAAATTGCTTTGTGAGTATTGAATCTGAAGTCCTGAGCAAGACAGAACTTACTAGAGTAGATACCTTGTCTTTGACTGCCTTTGTGGCCATTGCATTACGGGCACGATCCTTCCATTTCTGAGAGGCAGCAACTATCCATTTTTTATATTCCACACAAGTTTTGCGGTGCAAAGTAAGAGCGCGCTGATCTTGCAATGTCTGTGGGCACCCTTGGGTGCCACAAGAGAGTTTCACCATCAAAGCAAGGCAAAAGGTTAAGATGATGGCTACAGTAATAGAGCCTTGGATTCTAAAACAAAGCTGGACCATAGGTCTCATGGTGTAGGTCTGAGACTGTCCATAAATAATACTGGTACAGGTTTGGTTGAAGTTGTCTCTAGTACCAAGTCACGCAGGATGCATGCGAAGACTCAATATTAACTCACTTCTATGACAATTTTCAACTTATGCGGGAAGCTACAGCATGCCCATCGCGCAAACAATAAATGTCCAAATATGATGTCTTCGAAGTCACACGTCCTTGAAGTCTAAAGTTACTTTGGATAGTACATGCCATGCAGCAGAACCTATAAATACACAGAACATGGAACAAATGCACGGAAAGCAAACTGTACGAACGGTATTGGTAACATTGGAAGTGCTAAAATATGCATGGTCAACAGAGAAATTCGAATGTATGGACACATGTTCTTCCAGCTCAAGCCTAGAGATCATTCACCCTTTCCTTCGCCTTCTTGGACATCTTCACCTTCGCCTTGGAAACCTTCCCATCATCAACCTTCCCGTCGTCAACCTTCCCATCATCAACCTTCGCTCTCTTCGCTGAACATTCAGGTTCGACATCAATTGATAATCCGGTGGAGGGCATGTGTGGCTGATTAGTTGAGGATGAAGTAGTGGGGTTGGATGAGAGTGAAGTGCTGGTAGTAGCCTGAGCGACCGGTAACTTGCGTTTTTCATATTTGTGGTGGTGCCAATCCACATAGTGGCAGTAGGCTGTAAGATAGACAGTGGTGGAGATCTGGTTCAGAGCAGCCTCCCATATGGGGTCTCACACAGGATGAGACTCGCGCACACTCTGGATTGCAGGCTCCTCTAACCCCATCCCCTCCATCAGTGATATAATGTACTCTTTCAAACTCTTGGCAGCCTCACTTAGGATGTGTTCGATGTCGCCCATCTTGATCTCGGGGTAGATAGTCTGTAGAGTGTTAGTATCTTCGAAAGTAAATAGAAAAAATGTGGACGTACCCCTTCTGCGAATGTCTGTACATTCTTGCTGTTGAAGTCGAAGTGGCTGTCTGCGCCACACTTAAACACAGTGTATCGGACCTCGCACATGTCGATCCAGACGTGGGACTGGATGATGACTGGCCCAAACCTCAATGACCTCTTGATGTGACAAGGGATGAAGTCTTCATAGTCCATGGTGGGACTCGCGCGAAGGACTTTACTTGCAAGGCTATTGTCTTTTGGCTGTTGCCACTGACTCCGTTCTCGCAATGATATCATCAATGCGTACTCAGTCTCTCTAGAGCTATCAGTCATCAGTCTCAGCTTGCGAATCATACTATTGTCATCTGATGACAATCTGCATTCCCCCACCCATTTAATGATGGGCCTTGGAATCTCTATTTCGGCCTCATCATCATCCTCGTTGTTCTGTGCAGTCCTTATTTTGCATGTGGTGATTAAGATGAAGGGTGACATCAATGAGTCGTATGTCGTAAGGGATAGTGTCAGTGTATCTAGTGATGGCCTTGAATAGATGTGTGGTTGGTTGTTTGTGGATAGGGAGTGGGGCCATAATTTGAAGCTCTTGCATGTCCTGGAAGTAGTTGAATCTGTCAACGATATGATCAGCATTAAGATTTGTGTGTATGATTAAGTTGCGAATAAGGTTTACTTTGCTCTGATGCCACAATCTGGCTCTTCCAATATAAATGCTAAGGTTACAGCATACTCTGCAGGTGTAACATCATTGATTACCTTGTATGGTGTTCAAAATTAATCACTTATCAGTTGAAAGGAACCTACAAATGTGTTTGGTTGAGGATTTTGAAGAGCCTCGAGAATGACAGCACACTGCCCCAAAAGAGATGATCAGGAAGAAGTCAGGATGGAATAGGTAAGTGAGCTGAGAAATCCTAACCCAGGCTCAAACCATCTTGATTATCGTTGAGGTTGAGTCTTGCTTTTACCACGGCTTCAAGATCTTCAAGCACTTTCTGGTCTGGCACTTTGTCTAGTAGGAAAGTATTGAAGGATTTTGCTGATTTTGGGACGTGCACACATGGAGGGGAGGTAATCAGAGAGTTCAAGTTGGAGGGTGGCGACATCCAAGGTTTGGATTTGTTCATTGGGAGCCCAGAACACATTTGTGGGAGTTTGGTAAAAGGACCAGTGAGAGACATCAAGGGTACTAGTAGTATGGTGACAACTGTCAAACCAGCTAGGCAAGTTGTGCCAGTCAGCCAACTTGGTACCATTGTTGTACTTTAGTCAGCTAACACCATGTGTCGCTACATCAAAAGGGGTAGTAGCGCTGGACAGAGTGTTATAGTAGTAGCTCTTTAGGAGCAGACATCCAAGTCTAAGCTACTTACTAGTGGAGTTTACCTTATTGACAAGCATGAGCCGGCATATGAACCTTACAAAAACGTTGAGAGCAGGAAAAAAATGTGCAAATGATTTGTCCAAAACAGACAAGCATAGGACCTATCAGTAATCATAGTATTAGGTACAAGTCAAACATCCTGTCCTCACTAGTACACAGTGACTAAACTATAGAATGAAAGATGGTAATCACACATGTATTATAAGGTGAGGATCTACATGGCAACTGCGGTAGAATTTCAATCAGACCTCGATGAACACAGTACAGCATTTGGACTTACATTGCAAGGTTTATAGTCTCTCTGATTTGTGGGAAAATGATATCCCAGCTAGCCACTAGCTCGGATGTCATTGAGTTCACCTCTTCGAAAAAATTCACTGTTTCCATGGCATCTGTGAGATCTAAACTGTAAAAAGGATCGAAGGCTCAAATGTTAGCCCAATTCCAGTCTGCACTAAAGGCATGTTGCAGCTGAGGGTCACCTGAGTTAAGTACCGACAGAATAAATATTATACACACTATAACAATGGCACATGCTAGGGTGTACCTAAGATTGATGAGCCCTGGTCCACTATTGAGGACTCGAGGGCCTACACGGTTGCTGGTAATTTTGTGATGGATAGCATCGGCATAATTGGTAGAAAGAAATTCGGCCATCAAACCCAGGGGAAGAGTATTTTGAAACAGTTTCTTCTCGCCCTAGTTCAAATCATCAATCGAGTAAGAAAAATGTGTGTAATAAAAGTACCCACGGTTAATGAATCATGATAATGCAACCATTCATACCGTGTTTCCGGTTGTTGAGCGAGTGTAAACTTACCTGCATCTCTCTCCCCTTCGTTTGTCGCTGCAACACCACCACATTCACCGTCGGATCTCTCCCCTTCATCTGTCGCTGCAGCACCACTGCATTCACCATCGGATCTCTCCCCTTCATTTGTTGCTGTAGCACCACCACATTCACTGTCGGATAGAACTGTCATGCAACATATTAGTTATTTACTACAGAATGTTTAGTAGTACTTATGTGCAGTCTGCTCTCTGTGGTTCATCGCTGCAGCAGGTCAACATTTAAATACATCCTGCATGGGAGCAACACACATACCTGAATCCTCATTGGCAGCATTACTAGTACCATCTTCCTCGAGACCAGCTGGACAACAAAATTTAATGAGAGTTGATAGTGAGTAAAAGACCGAGAGAAAACTTACCTGATGGCACATCGCCATCTGTGCCATTTGTGGACCTGTCAGCAGTGTCAGACAACTGGACCTCGGGACCTTCATTCACGTCACTGCGCTTCTTCCTGCCAAGTGATGAGCGTTTGCTGAAGTTAGAGAAGAAAATATCTTCTTCAGCAGATGATGTCATGGGATCAGAACGTTCAGACCTTGGAAGAGGGCGAGCCTTGGGTCGAGGATGCAGCTGATGTTGATTTAGTAGATAATAAAATGACAACTATAAGCTTACACGGTCTTGGGTTTGGGTATTCATGACAGACTCCGGGCCAGCACGAGAGCGAGTTTGCTTTCGCATAGTACGTGTAGAGGCCTTTAGCAATCAGCAGTGGTTGCAGTGCGAACAATAGGTAACACATTACCTGGTTGTCATCGGCATCAGATTTGGCAGCCTTTTGGTCCTTGGACGCATAAGTGCGAACATAGTCAGGCGGTGGTGGGGCTTTAGTCCGATGCCCTGAACGGGTAACAAGAGGCATTTGAGACTGCTTCCAACGATCACGAAGATATGAGGAAGATAAGTTGAAGAACATGAAGTTGCCTCAACAGTTTTATTTCACCGACACGAAGTCAGGTAAAGATACGAAAAGCGTGAAAAAGTTGAGAATGTTAGAGTGAATATAGGAGGGGCTGGAAATTTTGATGGTGTCTGAATATCATATCACATTATATACAGCGACCAGACTCTATGGAAATAGTTATTGCGTTGATTGAATAATTATCTGGAATGGAACTTACTAGCGTATCGGGGTGTCACCCCCAAATAAAGCTAGTAAATGTGGGCCCTTACTTAGGGATGTGTCACAGTAATATAACAGAGCCAAAACAACGGTTGGAATAGAGTTGAGAGACGATGTGCGGTGTACGAGACATCGAGTTATGAGTTATGGCAGTATAAAGGCCAGGAACAGAAGGTAAATAAGATAGTGCGAAGGTACGATATAATGCACAAGTGGTGAAGAAACTGAATCCAGACTTCGATACGCAGTAGAGACGCCAGTAGAACCTCCATTTGTGGGGGATGACTGCTATTTCCAATAGTAACAGACAGCGTATGAAAGGGACATGTGAGGGTAGACTCACCTATAAAAAACGGAAAGGCGGATGGAATGGACCGCCATAATATGCAGGTATGTGGATGGATGACGATAATGATCTCTGAGGATTTGGTGCGAGGGTATATCACTAGAAGTAGATGTGAGACAAATGTGTACACTCACCGATTAAAGACTGGAAGTGAAGTATGACACACCAGATTGAATGCACCGTCATAATATGCGAGAAATTAATGACAAGGTTAAAGGACCTGTTTAAACAGATGATTAAGATTTTACCGTATTCTGAGGATATGGCACTTACCCGCAAGATGATAGTCACTCAATCCAGACTTGAGTTCTTTCCGATCCTCGGTGGAGTGTACAAAAAGGATATGTGAGGGCAGATCAGTAGAAGTAGATAAGAAATGTGCTCACTAGTGAAGAACTGAAAGAAGAAAAGCACAACACACCAGGCAGAGAACGGATGCGAGGCACTCCCGCGGAAGGTCTTTAACCCTATCGGTGCAGCAACAAATGAGCAACCAGGGCAACCCTCCAGAAACGCAGTCTAAGAGTGATAGATCAGCGACACAAAGTCGACTAATCAGAGTTTGAATGGCACGAAGCCAGTTCAGATGGCAAGAGAGGGCCGGGAGTTGGAGTTGAGGCTGGAAGTTGAGGAGGCAGGACAATAGAGGCAGTGATGAAGAGTTGAACAAAGTTGGGACTTTCCCACAATTGCACTTGCTACCCAGATTCAGTCAGAATTTCATTGGGGATTTTCCCACTGCGTTTCTATTCAATTCCTTACATTTCTATCTACCGTCATTCATTGTTCCTCTTCTCTCTTCTCTCTTCTCATCGTCCTTCCTCTCTCTCTCTCTCATCCTGCCTCACTAGATCATTGTTGCCCTCAACTTCCAGCCTCAACTCCCGACTCCCAGCCCTCTCTTGGCATCTGAACTGGCTTTGTGCCGTTCAAACCCTGATTAGTTGACTTTGTGTCGCTGATCTATCACTCTTAGACTGCGTGTCTGGAGGGTCGCCCTGGTTGCTCATTTGTTGCTGCACTGATAGGGTTGAAGACCTTCTGCGGGAGTGCCTCGCATCCGTTTTCTGCCCGGTGTGTCGTGTTTCTCTTCTTACATCTTGACTTTCAGTCTTTCACCAGTGAGCGTACATATTTTCTCTTAACTACTTCTGCTGATCTGCCTTCACATGTCCTTTGCATGGTATCATTGCTGTCATGGTGAGCAGTGACACAAACTCTCACAATCATATTCCACAACGCAACACAAGGTACGTTAACTTTCGCTTTTGTTACGGACATCCACTTACGATTTGTAGCATTCATCATGCCCAATGCTCTGACATTGTTTAAGTTGAATTGAATGCTCTCAGACAGTACGTATTTGTCAATTTATCTCTGTCATGCACTGATGCTTATGTTTACAACAGGTTGGTTGCAAGCTTTCGATGCCTGCACTGTCGCTGTGCAGGGAAATCTAGTCATTACGATGCCCAACATGCACTTCATTCCAGAGTTTCACCACTTTGAAGAAGAAGACCTACAAGCCCGGGCAGATGGTCGCTTCGGCATTATCGATTGCTTCCAGTGGCCTCAGTCCTACAATGACTCTTTTTGTCACGCTGTTTGCATTCCTTGAAAGGAGGCATTTCCATTCCCACATCCACTACATTGGGCCTGGTTCACCCCTAGCTGGGATGACCTTAAGTCCATTCCAGGGAATTCATTTTCTGTAGGCACGCTGGCTCTGCTAAGGTCGATGGCTTGCAGTCCCTTCTCAAACTGGCTGAGCAACGAGTCCGTGATTACAGAAAGGATCAGCCGGACAGAGGTCAAATCATATACAGTCGCCTCTTGTACCTCCGTCATGCCATCGCACGGTTGAAGTCCCACCCCCTTACTTTTCGAGATCTCCTCATTTTTGTCACCGATGCTCAGTGCCTCTTTCTTGACATATACTCTTACATTGACTGGGTACTCATTGCCCAACCTCGTACCACTTTCGGTGTTTGCCATGAGGTCAACTTAGGATGGATGGGGGGGGTTGTGCAGAGCAGCGACATCTGCAAGAAGTTATTCTGCGCTGGTGTCCCAGCTTGGTATGTCCATGCAAGCGCATACATACCCCCGAAAATGATGGTCGTTGAACCGGTCTTACTCACACGCCTGGACCACATCATTATTGCCATGTACATAGAGGGCAGAAAAATCCGCCCATTTGAAGTCATCTACCGCGGTCAAGGTGGTCACAATCGTCATACACACATTCGCCACCTATATGCAGGCACAACATACCAAGATCCTGAGTCTGACAAATCCTCTCAACCATTGTCCAGCTCGAGTAATCCTGCTTCTGGTCCCAAATTATCTGCTCTTGGCAAGACGCCTAAACAGAAGGGCAAACAACGGCACCGGCCTTGTATGTACCCTTTTTCCTTTGTATATGTTGCATGCTCACGCAATTTTCAGACTTCATCGAAGCTCGCCCTACACAGTCAGGTGAATCTAGGGATAAGTGGAAAGATCCCGAGACTCCTTTCCTTCCACTGCCGAACCTGCATTGGGATGGCACTATGAAAACTGCCATTAAGGACGAGTCTCGTGTTCGTACACCCTACGTTATTGATCGGGGGTATAGATTCCCCGAACCTGCTCTCCTCATCGGTCCCAAGTTGCCTGAACAATTGCAACTATACCTTGCCAACTGGCTCGCTGCTCGTCCACTGTGGATTGGCCGAGTTGACCATGATCCTCCACGCACTTATCCAACTCCTCAGCTCTGGCGCGATTTCCTCGGTAGTGTCCCTTCTGTCCAACCACAATCTTCCAAAGGGAAAGAGCCAGACGGAAAGAGTCTTACAGCCACCAAGAAGGGGAAGCAAGCAATGCGGGACTTATTCGGTGATGACCTGTTGGAAACTCAGGGTGATATATTTTCGCCAGAAGGAGTTGTTGAATTTCAGGGTGAACAAGTCTCCATTGCTAGTCTCGCCACCCCTCCTTTGCTTCTGGTCCAGAGGATCACCTGGGAGTTATTTGAACTTGGCTTTCAGTACAAGTTGAGGGATCTCGGTGGTTACTTGGCACGGGGATGTTGGAACAATGATGCCGTTGGTCGCAAGCAGCTCCTCCATAGCATCTTCCCGGGCGAGGCTGGTTTGGTGATGTGGTCGGAGTCGTTTCCGTCGGAGAACTATGGGTTGTGGAACAACACCTTGATGGGCTGTCTTCCTTACCTTGAGAATTTCCGGAGACTGCTTTGTGATTGGGATGATGTTCCGCCTTGTCTTACGACACCACTGACCTTGGACAATTTCACAGATACATACTCCTGGGAAGTCAGGTGCGCGGCGGCGATGTTTTATGTTTAAACATTCTTTGATCATTTCGGCAGGCCTCCCATTGTGCCCCACTCGCTTCCCATGCAATCGTAATCTCATAATTTCGCTGTTTTTGTCTTTTGCCTGTAGCAATGTTTTGCGGTTTCGTTACCTCATCATTATATGTTTGATTGATGTTGCTGTATCCCTGCTAGTTGAATTTGTGTGACATAATCAGCGACACTGCCTCCAGTGTGATTTGATGTGCCTGTGCAATGTAGGAAACTCCGTTACTCGACTTTGTAGGGCCATGGCATGGACTTCCATTTGTAGGCTTCTCGTCCTCTCATCTGTTTGCTCTCATTCATGTATCCTCTGTTTCCAAGCTCCTTTTTCATTTTGCAAGTCCCATCAAAACATATATCTGGTTCAGTCGGTCGCACAACAAAATTCTCTTATTGGGCTAGCGCAGTTACTGACATAATTACATCATGACATTGAAATGCAGATGATGAGATGTCTGACTATGTAGGGTTCCTGACCCGAAGGACTTGCTCTGATGCGATTATGGACATTTGCCTTGAGGCTTTGTCTTTCAACTCCCAGTGTATCCACCACCACCGCCAGTTATTCCATTGAACTCTCCTCAACTGCCTGTCGGTCCACCCAGTGTCCACTACAATTAATCACTGCCATCGAACTCTGCTGGACTGCACGTCCGTGACTTGAGGTTCTCCAATTGACTTCGTGTTGTTGTTTCTCTTCCTTGTAAGACTTCGGGTCTTAAGGAATTTCGTCATGGCAGTCTGCCGTCCGAAGCCTCGACGTCGTAGAGCAACCACCCTCAGTTCACCATCACCTCCGTCGACACAACAATTGAGCACTATTATTTGTGAACCTTGGATGGTCAAGAAATGGAAATGCCCCTGCGAGACTAAGAAGCTAAACCTTTATCTTTCTGGCCCGCCTCCTGTCTTGATTATGCCAGGACGACGACATTTATCACAGCAAATTTTACCTCATTTATTGTCCATGTCTAGGACAGAACTAGAACACAAGGATGATGAAGCGACCATTCCATTCAGTGACTCCCTGCATTTTTCTGACCATCCTGTTCCCCATCGTCTCACCAGCTCACAGAAAAGGGCCAATCAATGGCGCAGATGGTCAGAAAACATCATTCCGCGCATGATAGTGCCCTATCTATCTTATATCGAGGAGACTTTATCGCTACGCCATGCCAACGTACCAGGAGAACACCATTCAAATGATGGAGAGTGCGGGACTGGGTGCAGAACTCGTAGTATCAAGGTTGCATGTGTACTTTTCGACGGTATGTTATCGTCTTTCTTGTCTTCTAACTTTGGTCTGATGTACATTACAGCTTTCGAAGAAATCACCATCATCACCTGTCCTTGTTTTCCCGCCCCGCTTCAGCTTCTTCATCATGGCCTTTTTCCATGTGCACCCATGGTTCCCTCTCTGGCAGTAGACTTACGAGTTCTGGAGTTTGTTTGCCTCCTCTTCGTTCATCAGTCCCCCAACCAAACTGCTTGGTTCAATGCTCTGGAGACCTTTCTTGACGGAATGAGGTACAAGTTGACATCGAAGGTCAGTATTTCCCTGCTCATGGGTGCACCTGTATACTTAACCTTCTTTCAGAATAGCTTGCAGCGTCGCTTCAGCAATGTGTTTCACTGGTACCGGGTCTTGACTGTGTTGGCTCGGGATCACATCTCTACCCTCATTACTGATGCCCGGAAGGACAGTTCTCGTGTGGACCAGCCTAGTGAGTATCTTCATTTGCAGTGCCCACTCTGTTTTGGAGGGAACGATTGGCAAAACAAAGTGAGAGGTTCTCCTTCCATGTGCGTCATTTATTATGACTCTACTGCACCAGTTGACCATTTCCAGGCAAAATATTATTGTTTGCATTGACGCGGGCTTCACACAAAAACGTTCCACAAATCCTCGCAGTGCTACTGGCAATGATCCTCCTAACCCAACATTGTCTTTCTTTCTACCGACGGCCGATGTGAACGCAATGGAAGATTTTGTTCAAAGGTGTCATGGAGAAAGTCGTCAAGCAAGGGCCTCCAGGGCAGAGCCAGACGAAGATTGCTATGAAGAGGGCATGCGTGTACCAGTGTCGGTCTTGAACGGGTGTGGAGACTCTTTCATCGCTGCAGACGAAAAGCGAGAGAAGGCAAGTACTCGCTTCTTTACCGATATAGGCCTGATGGCCTTGCTTTGTAGACACGATCGTGTACTGTGGGTTGCGAACCTCACATCGGCAGGAGAAAAACAACACTATGCACTTGCTCTATTGGACCGGTTGTTTAAACATCTCCCTGCTCAGATGACCATCGGGCTTCTATATGACATTGGATGCCAGCTCGAACGGAGCTGTTGCAAGTGGAAGTTTATGGACAACTCTATTCTATCTCGCATTGCATTTGCTGTTGCCGTATTCCATGCCTATGGTCACCAGTGGCCTTGTCAGATCGTGTACCACCCCAGGAAGCGAGAAGGATTTGGACTGTCTGATGGTGATGGATACGAATGACTGTGGAGTTTCCTCAAGCCTCTCATCCCCTCCTTGCGTGTTTCTGGGGTATGTATGATCTATTCGTATCATTCTATGTATCCTACTCTTCGCTATGAAGTTTAATCAGCGGCTTTTCATCCTCGACACACAAATTTGTCATCTGGACTCAAAATCATTACAAGGGTTTGGACATTGGCTCCATCAGTGCTGGATCCACTGTCAAACAAAGAAAAACGGTGCACTGGACAGTCTACATGACTTACAGGTGGACGAACATATGCTTCGTGTAGAATGGAAGGCTCAGGTTGATCACCAGACAAAACCCGCACCACGTACGTCTGTAATAACCAAATGTTCTAAGAGTCCTGAACTGAACCTTACATAGGACAATCTAGAAACAAGGTGGTGGAGGTGATTACTACCGTCCTAGCACTGGAAAAGACCCTAGAAGCTCAGGAGGCTTCTATCCGTGAGCTCAAGATGCAGCTCCATGGTGGCCACGTTCCTGACATTGTTGAGTTCAACCTGCAGCTTGCAGACATCCGCTCATAGTGAGTGAAAACTGCTGACTCTCTCCGACGACATCGAGCTGCGCTTGGAACAGAGGACAAGGTCAACCTGGAGAAGATGAAGAAGGATGTTTATCTTATGGTTTGCTTGAATGCCCTTGCAGTCAAAACTCGTATTCGCAACCGCCTTCGTCAATGCAAGTTTGAGTTGGAGAGACTTGAGAGATCGTATAGAGCAACAATCAATGGTGCGTTGACGATTTGACTGGACTGGTGCATGTCTCACAATCTTCCAGCTGAGCACAAGCTTCATGCCAATACTCAGCAGTCAATCAAGCGGCGAGAGCCTGGCATCCTCAAATTAGTTTCAACGTACAATGGTTTGTGTTCTCAACTACGATCTCTTATACGCCAGCATTGAGCACCTCCTTATGCTGTTATGCCTCACATCATCCCGCGTGATGGCATCTTTCTGCTTGATGTTGATGACGACATCTGGCAAGATGTCGGGCTTGATGATGACACTATAGCGCCGCCAGCATGGCTATCAGATGATGCCGTCCAAAATGGTATCCGCTTGCAACTTGAGGTTGATTGGTGCATGGAGGAGGAAGCTCGACTGATGCATGAGAGGGCTGTCATTCAAGAATGGATGTTGGCGGAGTGGGGGGCCATAAGAGGTGCCTCGAACAATGCAAGTATGTGTGTCCTTACAATGTTATCAATGGTTGTTAGTGACGTTGCAGTGACAGACGCAGTCATATCTTTCCACCTTCAGTCTCGTGTGGATGAACTCGTCAACATATGTGTAGTCTGGAAGAAAAAGGTTCAGTGTATTCCTTGCACATGGCCAGTTGGTGAGAGCTGGGGACGCTCTGATGAAGCATTGCTTCAGGCCGCTTGTGATCAAGCGCAGTCATCCTTTCATGATGAGGATGATGTTAAGAGTGTGGAAGGGGAGGAAGGTGATTGCGAGGGAGACCTGGAATATGGTGAGATCGGAGACGAGGAACTGATGGATGCTATTGAAGACATTGCACTAGTGGACGAGTACAGGTATGATCACAGTAATGAGTTATTGGATGACATGGATGACATTGATGATCACTTTATGCCTTCCTCCCCTATTAAATTGTCAAATAAATGTTGGCGCATATAGAAGTTGTAGTTGTCACTTGGTTTTGGCTGACAGATGTGTGATAATGTATTACACAGTAGCTATTAGTGATGTCTCAGCTCCAAACTGCATTTTTCAGAAAATGAGCATAACATGCTGGATAAAATTCCTAAATGCATGAAAATATTTATGCACATAGATTGAGCCAAAATCTGGGAGGCATCTAAGGGGAATTATTACTGTTATGCATCATTAGTCTTGCAATGATGCATAACAGTAATAATTCCCCTTAGATGCCTCCCAGATTTTGGCTCAATCTATGTGCATAAATATTTTCATGCATTTAGGAATTTTATCCAGCATGTTATGCTCATTTTCTGAAAAATGCATTTTGGAGCTGAGACATCACTAGTAGCAACCAATGGAGTACTTTTGAGCTACATCTACATATATATTCATTAATTGAGAGAAAATGAAGGTAGTAGCTGAGTGACATACTTGTTCTTCAGGAAGAATTGGACATGGTGTCTTCCTAGTAGAAATAGAGTAATTCTAGTTGGAATAGTCTGTTGAAGGGAAGGGGGGGAGGGTGCAGTCTTCCCTATTGCATGAATAGTACACTTATGGTCCATCCCATTAAGCCTGTGGTCTTCCCTATAGCATGAATAGTACACCTATGGTCTGTCCCAATGAGCCTGTGGTCTTCCCTATAGCATGCATATTACACCTATGGTCCGTCCCAATGAGCCTGTGGTCTTCCCTATAGCATGAATAGTACACCTATGGTCCATCCCATTAAGCCTGCGGTCTTCCCTATAGCATGAATAGTACACCTATGGTCCATCCCAATACACTTGTGGTCTTCCCTATAGCATGCATCTTACACCTATGGTCCTTCCCAATGAGCCTGTGGTCTTCCCTATAGCATGCATATTACACATATGGTCTGTCCCAATAAGCTTGCGGTCTTCCCTATAGCATGCATCTTACACCTATGGTCCTTCCCAATGAGCCTGTGGTCTTCCCTATAGCATGAATAGTACACCTATGGTCCATCCCATTAAGCCTATGGTCTTCCCTATAGCATGCATATTAGACCTATGGTCCTTCCCATTAAGCCTGCAGTCTTCCCTATTGCAGGCACATCACACCTACGATTCTTCCCATTAAGCTTGTGGTCTCGCCTGCTTATCATTTTTACAATGCTGTGGTATGCCGTCCCTATTGATCTTTCTATGTGAAAGTCTGGAGTACTATAGACAAAGGTTGTAGTAAAGCTACTGGGTCCAAAGGTAGGTAAATGGCCATCAGGTACTGCAGCTAATATGGTTAAACAGGGAGGAGTCCCCTACCAAGATGCAAGCGGAGTGAGCATCGAGGAGTGGGTGTGATGAACCAACATGTGTGTGGTTTGAAGTGTATGTACCAGTAGTGTTAGGTGGAACTGAACTGGGCATAGGACAGTTTTCCAGAGTATGTGAGCGGGTCCAGTGGGTATATAATGAAATCTGTTGTGGGTTATGTGCCTGGCGTGTTGGAGATGACTGTAGGTTGTCTGGACAAAGTATACAATTTTGATATATTGTTCAATTATATAAAAAAAATTCATTAGGTTTATGGGGGGGGTCTAGGAGGCAGGGCACAGGTCACGAATGCAATCCACAAAGGTAGGGAAATTTGCCAAAAAATCGTCATTTGAAGACCCCAGACACCCCTACGTTATAGGGAATTCAAGTGGTCCAAATCATCATATGGTACTCCCACAACATATTCCCAATGGTCTTTGGTCCCTAACAACAACAGGGAAAGACCACAGAACATTGGGTAGACCACCAGGAAAGTACCTCTTAGGTGAAAACCTCTATAGGTAGTAATCAACCTAAGAGGTGTCCAAAATGGGGTGACCAAAGTGCAATAAACAAGAAGACGTACTATGTGATCGTTGTATGATGTACAAAACACAATCGTGAGTATGTTCTAGTCAGCTACCAGCTGTGGAGAATTAGGGGCTCATCATAATAAGATTCAATTGAGTTGCGTAAATATCTGACCTCATGGTAGTAGTGTTTGAGGCTTCCAGTGGGACAGACACGAAAACACTGAATTCAAATTAGTACTACAAACCAATTTGCATGCTGGTATTGAACCAATTTACGCACCTAGAGAACTGCAAACTCTAACCTCATGGCAGTGTTAGAGGCTTCCAGTGTCATGGACACAATTTCATGAATCCATATTGAACTTTAAGCGCTAAACACTGGATTCAAATTAGTAGAACCAATTCGCACACTGGTATTAATCCAATTCATGCACCCAGAGAACTGTGGCTAGACTCAGCAGATAAGTCATGAACCCAATTTCCATGCTGGTATTGATCTGACACGCAGACAGGTCCTCTGTATACTAGAAGTGATTCGGAACCAATTCCCACGCTAGCTGGGCCAGCACCGCTGCTGGTGTTAAGGTAAACCAACCACCCAACTATGTTCAAGTTGTTCGGTTGTATGTTATCTCAAAGGCTAAGATTTTGCCCAGCAGCCTCTAGAACATTGAACTTGAATAAGTGCCATAGTATGGATACAAATGGACTGCCGCACTGAGGGTGTGCTGCCCTGCTGAGGGTAGCAGATTATTATCAAGGTTTGCTTCAATGATTCTGTTGACACATCTATATTGATCGGCAAATTGTTGCCTGAAGGCCTAGATCAAATTCGCACACTTGGTGCCACATCCTGGGCCCTAGCTAGTGATCTGAATCTGAACCAATTTGTGCACTTGATTCGTGCGCCTTGGCTAATCCAATTTGTGCAAATATGTCAGCCAACCAATCATATCAATTCCTGAATTTGGAGTTAGTAGATCGGTTTGCAAACATGGAATCAATCGGTCATTCATATTCAATTACTGAACAAGTGAGTAATATGGCAATACATAACTCAAATCTTTACTAAACAGTGGGGTTTTTGCGCTGACTCATATCACCCAATGGCCATGATGTTGATGTGATCATGGTATGATGAGTTTGTGCACCAATGATGCACTCTGGCAGACTCAAATAGATGACAAAAATGTGGTCCATCTCAAAATCTTTTTATTTGACGTGCTGTATCTAACAAGCGCACTGGCAGTGATTTGATGAAGACAGGGACTATGATAGCTATGTGTGCGGACAAGTGACCTGGAACAATCCGAGCTACTACCTACTTGAGCTTCAAAGCTAACATATACGAAGTAACCTGACCACCACCTCTTCTAACCTTCAAGCTCAAGTTGAATCACATACACCATGACTATGCCAGTCCTTGACAACTTGAATTACCTAAACTGTGCTACATGGTGTGACCATGTTATCTGCGATCTTGATGCAGTGTACCCTTCTCCTCCTGCCTTGCATGAAACTGTGACACAACAGCCTCTATCATCTGTATGTGCTTTAGTAGTGGATTTTATATAATGTGACTAACGACAATCAACAAGATGGACATATTGTGTCTTCCTCCGTTCTGGGAGACAGGTTGCGATAGCAATCTCATGATTGCCTTTATTAATGCTCAATGTTCAGAGTGTCGTGCAGAGAGTAGACTTATTTTGAGATGCTTGAAGCGTATATTAATTGAACAAGAACTTTATAGTCATATGGAACTACACACCAGTCACAGACTTCGGAAAGCTGACACCAGTGTTGGTGTTTCACGTGGTGTATTTCATGTGTCTGGGCTGATGCCTGCAGGGAAAACTTTTGATAATGTCAATAGTGATGTATTAAGTATAATGCACGATGTGGAGGATTCTTCCTGAGACCCTATCATACTGCATGTATTTTTCTTTTCAATAGATACCACATACATTGTATGTATTGTGTGTATGTTGCACCAGTGTCTTTGTTATGGACTTGTGCTCTTGTTTTTTCAAATGAAATGCAATCTGAGTCATGTAAAATAATTTCCCACCTAGTACTAATCATCTAAAGTCAGATCAATGACCTCTGTTCCATGGTCTCTTCGCCCAGTCTCTCCTGCGCAATTGTGACGCTCAAATGTCTGCCTTGTCATGATAAGCTGACAATCATTGCATTGTGTAAGAAACCAGCGAAATTGAGCTTCTGTGAGACCTGGCTGGGTGAAAGAATCTAATTTCAGAAGCCTGTT